TTCCCCATATATTTTTGCTCATCAGTGTACTTCTTAAGCTGTTTTCATATTGCTTCTTTCCTTTCTCTGAAATGGTTATGTTTTTTTAACTTGGGACTACCAAGTTGTAAAGATGTATGTTTTTACCTGACAGTTATACCACAGGTAGACTGTCAAGTTGAGAAGACTGAATCAATAACTTTTTGTTTTTAAGATTAAATTAATCCTTGATAAGAGTTGCTTTTTTTTTAGGAGCTAGTCTTTGACCACTAGTTTGATGCCATCTCCATTTTGGGTGACCTGTTTCACTAGCAGGCCTGTTACTCTCCATGATTAACTATGTAAGTGCTTAAAATGGAATAAATTGCTTTTCTTTATAAAACAAACAAATGAACAACAACAACAAAAAGACAACAATGGAGTTTGCCACATTGATTAACTCTTCTTTTCACAAAAGATTTCTCTGTAGCATGTGATGCTATGTGATAGGATTTTACCCACAGTGGAACTGTTTTCAAAATTGGAGTCAGTTCTCTCAAATGCTGCCACTGTTTTATCAGCTGAGTTTATGTAATATTCTAATCCTTTGATGTCATTTCAACGGTGTTTTCATCATCTTCACTAGGAGTAGATTCCATTTCTTTGCTCTTTTATAAGAAACAACTCCTCATTCTCTCAAGTTTTATCATGTAATTGCAGCAATTCAGTCTCATCTTTTAGCCTCCACTTCTAATAGTCATTCTCTTCCAATTTCTGCCATATCTGTCATGACTTCCTCCTTTGAAGTCAACTTCAAAGTCATCCATGGTGGTTGGAATCAATTTCTTCCAAATTTCTGTTAATGTTAATATCTTGACCTCCTCTCATGAGTCACAAATATTCTTCATGGCATCTAGAATGGTGGATCTTTTTTACAAGGTTTTCAATTTACAGATTTACAATTTGCAGAGCCATCAGAAGAACCACTTATGTGTGGAAGCGATAGCCTTACAAAATGTTGTTGCTTAAACGACAAGACTTGAAAGTTGAGATTACTTCTTGATCCATGGGCAGCATTCGGGATGGATATTGTGTTAGCCGGCATGAAAGCAACTTTAATCTATTTGTACATCTTTATTAGAGCTCTTAAGTGACCAGGTGGGTGGATTGTCAATGAGAAGTAATATTTTGAAAACCTTCCTATTTTCTGAGCAGTAGGTCTCAACAGTGTGCTTAAAATATTCAACAAACCATTCTGTAAACAGATTTGTTGTCATCCAGGCTTTGTTGTTCAATTTATAGAGCACAAGCAGAATAGGTTTAGCAGCATTACTAAGGGCCCTAGGATTTTTGGAATGGTTAATGAGCATCTATTCAACTTTTAGTCAGCAGCTGCGTTAGCCCTGAACAAGAGAGCCTGCCTGTCCTTTGAAGTTTTGAAACCAGGCATTGACTTCTCCTCCCTAGTTATGAAAGTCCTAGAAGGCATCTACCTCCAAGAGAAGGTTGTTTCACCTATACTGAAAATCTTTTGTCTAGTACAGCCATCTTCATCAATGATCTTAGCTAGGTCCTGAATAACTTGCTGCAGTTTCTGCATCAGCACTTACTGCTTCATCTTGCACTTATATATTACAGAGATAGTGTTCTTTCTTTAACTTATAGCTTTAAACTTTATAACCAACCTCTTCTAGCTTCAGAATTTTCTCCTTCACCTCTCTTAAGCGTTAAATAATTGAAAAGAATTAGCACTTACACTGGATTAGGCTTTGGCTTAAAGGAATGTTGTGACTGATTTGATCTTCTTTCCATACTAAAACTTTCTCCATTTGAGCATTAAGTCGGTTTCACTTTCTTACCTTTCATGTGTTCACCAGAGTAGCACTTCTCATTTTTTTCAAGAACTTCTATTTTGCATTCACAGCTTGTCTAACTGTTGTGAGAGGCCTTGCTTTCAGCCTGTCTCGGCTTTTGACATGCCTTCCTAACTAAACTTAATTGTTTTTAGCTTTTAATTTAAAGTGAGAAACATGCGACTCTTCTTTTCACTTGGACACTAGAGGCCATTGTAGGATTATTAAACGGCCTGATATCAGTATTGTTGTGTCTCAGGGAACTGGGAGACCTGGGGAGAGAGAGAAGTGGGTCGAACAGATGGGCAGTGGTGCAGTCAGTACATATACAACATTTATCAATTAAGTTTATGTCCTTATGGGTGTGTCATGTGGTGCCCCAAACCAATTACAATAGTAACATCAGGCATCACAGATCCCCATAGCAAATATAATAATAGTGAAAAAGTTTGAAATATTGGGAGAATTAACAAAATGTGATGCAGAGACTCAAAGTGAGTATGGTGTTAGAAAAATGGTACTGATGGACTTTTTCAACTTAGGATTGCAACAAATCTTCAGTTGTTTTTTAAAAAAAAACACAAAGTAATATTTGTGAAGAACTCAAAGTAAAGCATAATAAAATGAGGTCTTCTTATAACTTTGTAGATTCCATAGAACTTTCTGTGTATAATAGAAAATTTTTTATTTTGCTAATATATCATTTTACTTTTTTCTTTGTAATCTTTTATTTCTTTATTGTGCTCAAGTATGATGTTTGCTGTAGATTTTGCATAGATGCCCTTTATCAAGTTAAAAAAGTCCCCTTCTAGTCTCTTTGCTGAAAATTTTTATCATAAATGACTGGTGAATTTTGTCAGATGTTTTTCTGTAACTACTGATGTGATCATATGACTTTTGTACTTTATTATTGTGATAATTTAGACTGGTTTTTTTTATTGTTATATCAATCTGGCATTCCTGGAATAAAGAAAATTGGTCATATATCCTGTTCATATATTGCTGGTTCCTGTTTATCAGCGTTTTGTAAAAGATTTTTTCGTGTATATTCATGAGGATATTGGTTTATAGACTTTTTTGTGATTTTTTTTTTTTTTTGGTCAGGTTTTGGTATCAGAGTTATGCTGGTATCATAAAGTGACTGGAGAAGTGTTCCTTAGTTTTCTGCAGAGTTTTGGTATTACTTCCTTAACTGTTTCATGGAATTTATCAGTGAAAACATTTTGATATAATTTTCTTTATAGGAATTTTTATAGCAAATTTAATTTTTCTAATAAGCATAAAAGCTATTCCAGTTTTTCCTTTCATCTTTCATATTTGGCAAATTGCATTTTTAAGGAATTTTTTCAGTTGCTTTAAGTTGTTCATGTTGTTTGCATGAAGCTTTTCATAATATTATCTTTTTCAGAGTCTTTCACCATTAAGCTCATCAGTGAATTTTTCATTTCATATACCACAGATTTCAGTTCTAGAATTTCTATTTAATTCTCTTTTATTCTTTCTTTTTGCCTGCCATAGTTCTCCATTTGTTCTTTCATTATGACCATAATTTTCTTGAACATACATATAACAGCTGCTTTAAAGTTAATCTGCTAATTCGAGCACCTAGGTCCTTGTCAAGTCAGTTTCTCTTGACTGCTTTTTATTTTGACTATAGTGACATTTTATTCTTTTTATGTCTAGGAGTTTTTTATTGTATATTGGAATTGTGGATAGTACATTGCAGAGATTGCATTAAGTTACCTTCTTATAAAGAGACGAGAAAGCAGTTAACTTACCTGGACTCAAAATCCAAGCTCTGTCTCCCAAGCAATGGATAGCAACTGAAATCTCCGTTCAGTTTTTGGGGGAGTTTTTTTGTTTGTTTTTTGCCTTCTACTTGTTACAGACAAGGATTTCAATGGGAGTTTATATGCAGATTTTTCTGGTTTTTTAATTTTTTTTTTTTTGAGTTGAAGTCTCACTCTGTTGCCCAGCCTGGTGTGCAGTGGCACGCTCACAGCCACTGCAGCCTCCGCCTGCTGGGCTCAGGCGATCCTTCTGCCTCAGGCTTCCAAGTAGCTGGAACTACAGGTATGCGCTACCATGCCTGGCTAGTTTTTTTATTTATTGTAGAGACAGGTCTCATTGAGTTACCCAGGCTAGTCTCAAACCCCTGAGCTCAGGCAATCCTCTCGCCTCAGCCTCCCAAAATGCTGGGATTACAGGCTTGAGCCACCACGCCTGGCGTTATATACAGATTTTGAAACTTCTCATTTTTCACTACCATCCTTCCAAGAATCTACCTCTCATTTTATAGCCATTCTAATCGCTCCTGTCACCATCCTGTGCTTGATTCCTCCAGTCAGAAAGATTGTAACTTTCTACCTGAATTTCACTCTCACTACCAATGTTCCAGTTTGGGGAATGCCCTTCAAACCACATAAACACATAAATCTGACGTAGTGCTATTTCAATTTTCAAATATCAGCTCCCTTCTAGCTTCTAACTGTCTTTCGTCTATTTCCAGTGCTTAAAAGTAATTGCTTTTACAAATTTGACCAGAGTTTATAATAATTGTTTGTAGAAAAAGTAGTCCAATACAAGATAATCTGCCAGTAATGGAAGCATAACAATCTCCCTTCTGTATGATTTTGAAGCATATCTCAGATATCCTGTCTCATCTGAAAATATTTTAGCATGTATCTAAAAGAAATGGATTCTTTTTTTTTTTTGTAAAAACACATAACTAGAGTATCATTATTACAATAAAAACATTTTTTTCTAAGTAACTTCAAATATCCAGTATTCAAATTCTGATCCATCCAATGAATGGCCAGTAGGAATATGGTAACTTTAAAAATAATTTCAAAGGCCAGGCATGGTGGCTTATGCCTGTAATTTCAGCGCGTTGGGAGGCCGAGACCAAAGGATTGCTTGAGTCCACAAGTTTGAGACCAGCTTGGGCAACATAGTGAGACCTCATCTCTACAAAAAATCAAAAATTAACCAGGCGTGGTGGCATTGCAGCTGCTAAGGAGGCTGAGGTAGAAGGATTACCTGAGCCCAGGAGGTCGAGGTGGCAGTGAGCGATAATTGTGCCACTGCACTTCAGCCCAGGCGACAGAGTGAGACCCCCAACTCAAAAAAAATCATTTAAATTGATATGACATAGTAATTAAAGCAATGTTTTCTATTTTCTATATTCAGGTTCGTGACCATAAAAAATTAAGAGTGAATGCTGTTATTGCTCCCAATAATTCATATGCATACAAAGCACCTTCAAGATCTTTGAATGAACTGAAGTAAGTTTTCAAAATATTATTATGACTCATTTGAATATTGAATAATTAAACATTTTAATTATCTCTGTTACACAAGTATATTTGTTATAGATTGTATTATTTTCTTTTGGAATCTCTTCTTACATCTAAAATAAGGAAAAAATGGCTGGACTCGGTGGCTCAGCCTGTAATCCCAGCACTTCGGGAGGCCGAGGCAAGAGGATTGCCTGAGCCTGTGGGTTTGAGACCAGCTGGGCCACTTGGCGAGACCTTGTCTCTACAATAAATCAAAAATTGGCCAGGCGTGGTAGTGCGCTTTTGTAGCTCAGTTACTTGGAAGGCTGAGACGGAAGGATCGCTGGAGCCCAGCAGGTTGATGCTGGGATGACTGTGACTGTGCCACTGCACACTAGCCAGGGCGACAGAATGAGACTCCAACTCACACATAAAGTAAAATAAGGAAAAATGTAGACCTAGGAAGAGACCAAGATACAGTTAGTGTACAATGCATGTGATGTTTCATATCAGAGGAAAAATATTAGACTATTTAATAAAAGATACTAAAATAGTTTTTTATTGGGAAAATGAAATGATAAATTATTGCTTCATAATGCAAAAATAATTTCCAGAAGGACTAAATGTAAAAATTGCAGTTATAAAACAATTATAAGTAAATATCTTAACTCTAGATATAAGCAGACATTCTAAATATAAAAACAGTAGAAGAAACAAAAGAACAGTTTTATTCATAAAAAGCTTAAATTTTTCTGGCAAGTAAAAAAGTAATATTAAGTGATTTTTAAATGTAAAAAAAAAAGACTTTATCATTGTTTAAACAATTTATATTTACTTATTGTATATTGACCACTTGTCAACTCTTTTTCAATGATTTTTTTCAGAAGAAAAATCTAATTAGTACTTTTCCTTCTAGACAATATGGATTTTTCTCCTATTTGCGAGAGTTATTTGATGCACCTGATCCTGTAATGAGCTACCTTTGTTGTCAGTATAATATTCATGAAGTTCCTGTAGGAACTGAACGGACAAGAGAAAGAATTGAACGGGTAAGAAAGTGCTGAATCATTACCAAAAGTGTAGTTTTGTTAAAACTTCTTAGCTAAAGACAGGCAAAAAGTATCAGAAATTTAAATAAGCATATTGTTGTTATTTTTAAGCGTGCAGAAATTATCTTTGTATTTATTGTTTTTGATACGATATCAAACGCCGACTGTTGACTAATACTTTATGACAGGAGTGGTGCGCATTTAACTAGAATAAATACTTAATACATTTAGGGTAACTGAATAAAGTTAAAACCTGTAAAAAAGTGACACCTGATTTTCCTACCTAATTCTGCCTTGCTTGGTGAACTGTTTATGCTTATGTTCAAACATTATGTTACTAGTTTAGTCATTTAGATTGTTGTTTTCTAGATTATGTTTCAGATAAAGTATACTTAGAATGGTAGGCCGCAGTATAGGACTGTTTTGCTAAGCCTTCCCTTCTTTAAGCTTCTACTTAAGATTGTCTCATATATGAATGACCACCCCTCATGGGATCTCATTTACTTGACTTGTACATATAGCCACAAAACTCTTAGTTCCTATATTCTGTTAATGCTGATTGGAATTTTCTTCTTACAAGCAATCTTTGTGACTCCAAACCACATACGCTTTTATCACAGGCAAAAACAAAATAGAACTAGTAAGGCCACTTACTATAAGTAACTTGTTTTTGCAAAATGGATTGATAATGAGCCCCCAATGCATTATCTTAGGAGTGCTTGTACACTTGCTATTAGAAGTTTAAAACATATAACTTTAGAGGCAAGTAGGGCTATCTCTGAAAGTAAGGGTAGTAAGAACTCTTTACAGAAAGGCAGTAGAAAGTTTAATGAAGGATTTTATAACTCCACTTTGGATCACAAAGGAACAATTTACTTGGAAAATTCTTTTACTTTTTGAATAGTGTTCCAGGTTTAAATCACCTAGATAGCTTTAACACAACTGCTTGTACTGGAGAGATAGATTTGGAATCATATCGTTTATATTAAAAGTGAATTAATTCTTTCCTTCCTCTGTTTTTTCTTCCAGTTTTTTAAATTATCTCATTGTTTTTAGTTTTATTTACTATGGTATTTTAAAAATCCTGGAACATACTGAATGTTTAGTATACCTTATTGTCTCAATGCCCAACTAAGTGCTATGTTATATGTAAATATTTTAAACCATGATGCTATACTGTTCAGGCATGTGTATATAATAGCAAAGTCAGAAAGTACTTCAAGCACCTGGGGAAGCCCCTGACATTGTCTTCACTATCTTTCAGATGATACAAATCTTTATGGAAATTTACTACCTCTATATCCTCAGTCTTTCTGTTTAATGTCTAGATAATGACAATGATGGCTATATTTCTTCCTTAGAATAAAAATATATTCTTTTTGTGTGTTTGACTTTATTAGCAAGACTTAACATTTCAGTTTCTCTAATAGTGATAATACCTATTTATGGACCTGTTCTCTCATTAATTCTTAGACTTTCCCTTTTGGCTACATTATCTGCTGACTTCCTTAGGTTGAGATGTCCTTTTTGCTGTAAATGCCCTTCTCTCACTATTTCTGTCAGTTCAAATCCAGTTTAAAACTTGTTTTTAGGAAACTTGGATAGGGTAGGCTAACTTCATCCAGTCTATCCCTTTACTCAAATTATTTAGGATTTAGGTTATCAGTGTATATTCTATTGAGTATGCTTATATCTTATCTCTTTACTTAGACTATAAATTTCTGGAGGCAAACAAGCCACAGTAGTATTGGTTATGAACCTTTAAAGGGAAAAAACTGCATTACAACAACTTATACTTTATAAACATACAGAGATAGACCTAATAGTGTTAATGGTATTTAGAATGCATTTTAATTTGTGAAATTCGTGTATACGTTTTGAGAAAAGATCTCAAAAAATACAAACTTTTTTTTAAAGTTTGTGAAATCTGTGAAAATTGTTTAAATTAAGTATTCTCCCAAATATGCCAGAACTAAATATAAAGTGTGGCTGGGGGGGGGAGGGGAGAGTAAAATGACTTACCTGAGTTCACATAGTTCAGTATACTAGACATCTGGCTCCTGGTGTCTCTTCTTTTTTATATTACAGACTCCAAAAGTGTACTTACTTGGAAGAGATTGTGTAGTGAAGAAGAAATATAGCTGACTTTGCTAGTTGCTTTAATTTTCTCTTAATTCTCTTTCTTAGTATTGTTTTCCAAAATAGTAACCTAAAATGTTATCAACCACCTTTTTTGAAATGTTGTTGGGGATCTTTGTAAAAAAAGTATATTTAGTATATTTTGATTTTTCAAAATTCAATTGGTCTGTATTTTTAATTCTTTAATTCTTTAAAACACTGTAATTAATATTAGATGTGCACTGATACTTGTTTTACATTGTAGGTAATACAAGAAACCCGATTAAAACAAATTTATACAGCAGAAGAGAAGTATGTGGTAAAAACTTCCTTGTATTCAAACAAAATTATTTCTAGTAACACATCTCTAAAAGTAGCCCAGTTTCTCACAGTCACTGTGGATCTAGAGCAAAGAAGACATTTAGAAGAACAGCTAAAGGTTGGTTAATTTGATTTGAATTTTAGAAAAGAATATTAATTGGATTTCTAATACATTCACTGAAGCTGTTTTTAAAATATGTTAATCATTTTTAAATATTCCATAGGAAATTAATAGAAAATTGCAAGCAGTGGAATCGGGGTTGGTTGCCTTACGTGAGACAAGCAGACACCTAGAACACAAAGACAATGAACTCAGACAAAAGAAGAAGGAGCTTCTTGAAAGAAAAACTAAGAAAAGACAACTGGAACAAAAAATTAGTTCCAAACTAGGAAGGTATATTTTGGCCTATTCAGGGGAAGGGAACAACACAAAACACTGTATGGAAGACTAACAATTATACTATGTATTGACAACACACAAGTCCCACAAACATCCTTTGTAGTAATGTATCTCTAAAATTTGCACCTTACTTTCAAAACACAGTTTTAGTCCACGGGGCAAAGGGGGATGAATCTTAAGTGTTTCTGTTCCCTGATTAGCCGTTCCAGTGTTTGGACCCCTCTTCATGCTTAATCAATGAGGACCCTGACGAAGTTCTCTTTATATGGATTACATTTATTGATATTTACCATGTTAGAAATTAAAACTGAAAATGTTAAAAATATTTATTGATTTGTTTTAAAAAATAGCACACCTATCATATGTTAACTTAAAAATCTATTAAAAATAGCTATTTTCCAAACAAAATACATTTGTAAGAAGAGAGGTATTATTTTATGTTTTTGCAAATCTGTTAATTGAAGTCTTTTTTTTCATATCTGCTTCTATATTCGGTTTGTTGTGAGATGTTTGGGTTGAAACATAATGAAGAAAATCCTACTTCAATAGATAATGTAGTTGGAAAAGGAAGGAATATTTTAGTAGGTCCTTAAGCTAATTGTGAATATTCTTTAATACTACATCACAACTTGTCAAAGTTAAGTTTGCTAAGGTTTCATTGCACTGTGGAATCTGAAATCATGTCAGTGAACTTGTGCTCTCTGTTACATTAAAATCCATTGCCTTTACATGAATCTTTTACCCATGAATGATTTACCCATCATGCATTTGAAAAAATATTGGTTCACCAAGTCACATAGATCTTTCGTATATTGACACATTATATAATATTTTTTTAAAAGATCACATTGATCACTGTATTCTATCAGAAAAGCCTTTAAGAATTGAGAAGCTATAATGTTCATTGAAGAATGCAAATTTCCCAAAATTCAAATTATCACTTTAAAGCTTGAATTGTATTATTGGAAGCAAATACTGTCGGTTATTGTTTTTTTGTAAAAATGACAGGCTTACTTCATTCCTTTTTGGAAGAAGAAAAATGACCAAATGGCCAGGTCTAAATAATAATAGTTTGTCATTCTTTTTCAAGTAAAAATGGAATTCCATGGAAAAATGTCTGGGCCAACTTCAAATGTAAAGAGTCACACAAATGTTTTTCCATGAGACGGTGATTGTACTTTTCTACACAGCACAAGTATTTCATAAGTATAGTCAATCCTATTTTCTGTGGGTTCTACATCTATGGAGTCCACCAACTGAAGATTGAAAATATTATTGAAAAAAATTTATGGTTGCATGTGTACTGAACATATACACATTTTTTCCTTGTCATTATTCCTTAAATGAGTATAACAATATTTATATAGCATTTACATTGTATAATAAATCATAAATAATCTAGAGAGGATTAAAAGTATACAGGAGAATGTGTGTAGGTTATATGTAAATACTACACTATTTTATATAAGGAACTTGAGCATCTGTGGATTTTGGTATCCTCGGGTGTCCTAGAACCAATCCCCTACAGATATTGATGGATTGTTATACTATGTACTTCCTGTTTCACCACATAGAATATTAAAAAGACATACTCAAGATTTTGAGATTGAGTAAAATATATTATTTTTATTGTTTCATCAAGGGCATTCTTTTTTTAATTCTTATTTTAAAGATATGGGTACAGTTCAAGGTTAGGTATATATCAAGGACATTCTTTTTTTTTGTTTTTTTTTTTTTTGAGTTGGAGTCTCACTCTGCCCAGACTGGAGTGCAGTAGCATGCTCCCGGCCACTGCAGCCTCGACCTGCTGGGCTCTGGCAATCCTTCCGCCTCAGCCTTCCAAGTAGCTGGAACTACAGACACGCACTACCACACCCGGCTAATTTTTTGATTTTATTGTATAGATGAGGTCTCGCCAGTTTGCCCAGGCGGGTCTCAAACCTGCGGGCTCAGGTATCAAGGACATTCTTAAATGGATTTGGCATTTTTAAAAATTTCAAGTACATGATGGTGGAGAATCTAATGACTACAAGTACGCTTTGGTGCTATACTACCTTGATTTGCTCTAAAGCACTAGCATTTTTACTCACCTTTTGCTTTTACATCATCATTGGAAATGTTAAAATGGTGTGAAAGACAAATGATGTCTTATTATTACCATGAAAATAGTTTTTATTTTCTAACTCCCTGAAATGGTTTCAGGTGTCCCCAGGGGTCTATGGGCCATACTTTGAGAACCATTGCCCTAGATTAATATTCAAAACAATATCTCCATTGAGTTTGGAGTGGTATGAGAGGAGAAGAGAAAGTATAAGCAGAAAAATGATCTAACTAAGCTGTTTTCTCACCAGTTCTGGAAGAAATAATAGAAAAAGAGGAAGTTATGCTGATTTTCACAGAATAGATTGGGCATTTGAGGGTTTATCTCATTCAGTTGCGGTCTCCCTTTTTACAATTAGGATTATGTCTGCCTGACCTGAATAGCTGAATATTCCACAGAATTTTATGCAAAATGTAAATATTGTCAAAAGTCTTTTCTAAAAGGAAAACCACTGGCTTACTGTGAAAGCCATGCAGCTATTCTCTAAATTAAATATGACTTTTATTTTGAAAATAAGGTAGGATAAAAACTGTTAGGAGCCGGGTGTGGTAACTCATACCTGTAATTCCAGCACTTTGGGAGGCCAAGGCAAGAGGATTGCCTGAGTCCAGGAATTTGAGACCAGCCTGGGCAACTTGACGAGACTTCATCTCTACAATAAATTAAAAAATCAGCTGGGCATGGTGGCGTGTGCCTGTAGTTCCAGCTACTTGAAAGGGTGAGGTGGGAGGATCACCTGAGCCCAGCAAGTCGAGACTGTGGTGGCCATGAGCAGAATGCCACTGCACTCCAGACTGGGCAACAAAGTGAGATTCCGACTCAAAACAAAAAAACAAAAACGCTGTTAGGATATCAAGTTTAAGAAAAAGGAACATGGCTTCCAATTTTGAAGTTTTTCCATATCCTCCCATGATACTTTTTTTTCTTCTAACTTCTTACCTATAAATAAAGACATAAAGATTAGTGACATAATCAATCTTTAATAATAAGTAACAGTTTATTGCTTTGAGTAAGGCATAAGTCTACCTTTACCTAATATATTATGTATTCCTAAACACATTCATAAATGGAATCATAATTGAAATACATTAGGAAAATTTGTTATTTGTTAACCTTTTCTTAAGCAAACAATTGCCCATTAACTTTTATTTTAAAAATTAATAATGTACCTTTGTTGCTTAAAGCAAAATATATCTACTTAGTCTGGCTTTCTATAATTTTTTTTTTTACTTTAAATCTTTTTTTCACCTTTAACCCTTTACTTAATTTCTATCTTCAGTCATCTATAAAACTCTGCCTCTACTGTGTGACTGCTGTATTGAACCCATTGTCTAAAACTAAACTTTATCCTCTTAAAGTGATGTTGATTTTTATAGTAAGATCACTTTGTATCTGTTGCCAGCTTGCTATTTCCGGCCTTTATTCACTTTAGACTGCTGCAGTGGTGATCTGGTTAGTGGTCTCTCCCTGACTAGTCACCTTTTCATTCAGTTCATTCAGAAGACTGTTGAAAAATGTGTCTTCTTTACACATTCCTACCCCATTAAGCATAGCCATTGTGCCTTCCTACTGTTACTACATGTAATAAACACTGCTCTTCTTTAGACTAGCCTTTATGATTATTCAAAATCTTGTTTCACTCCACCCTCCCCAACTTATCCCCCTCCCTCCCTTCCCAACATACTCTTCCTTGTACCTTTCAGGCATTCTCTAAGACATCCACTGAACTTACTCATTCTTGTTTATTGTGGCTTCCATCCTTTGTGATTTTTCCCTGGAAGCAGCATGTTGTAATGGAAAGAACATGAATTTTGGTGTTAAACACATCTTATCATTTATTTGTAATCATAGGCGACTAACTTCTCTGGGTCTTAATTTCTTCATCTTTAAAATAGAGCTTAGTATTAATTTTTAATATTGTTGTTTTGTCTTTTCATTCTGTTTTTTACCTGTTAACTCTCCCATTTAAACTCCTTAAGGGAAGGGACTGTAAAAACTTCTGTTAATTGATCATATATGGACTAGTGTGTTACATGTATTACCATTTTTAATCTTCTCCAACACACCCTGGGGGAGGTACTATTATTATCTGCAACTTACAGATAAGGAAACTGAAGCTCAGAAGAGTAGCTTGTTCAGAGTTACATTGCTCATTATTGAGTGGCAAAAAGAAAATTCAGAGCAACCTTTCTAACTACAGATGCTACCCCATTGACAGTAGCTTTACCCAGACTATGTTGGGCACATAATATATCTTAACAAATACTTTTTTATTCTAACTGACTGCCTAAAGTGATTGTTTAATCTAGGAACTAGCAGTCTATACTGAGGGGGACCCAGAAAACCCCTAAAGTTTATTTACTTAGAAAAGTTTATTTATTACATGTTTAAACTTGTCACCTTCAAAGTACTCTCCATTTGATGCAGTACATCTACCAGGACACTTTTTCCACTGCTCAAAACAGCTTTTGGACTTCAATTTTGATACCTTTTCGTGCTTCTGCCATTTTTCATTTCACTTTCATGTCGATAAAACGTTTCCCTTTGAATACTTTTTTCATCGAGGGGAACAAAAAATTTTTGCTTGGGGCGAGATTGGGTAAGTGTGGAGAATGGGGCACAGGATCATGCCATCTGGGGTCAAAAACTGAAGACTCACTGCAGTATGGGCTGATGCACTCATAAATCACTCATCATGAAATGGGCAAATGTGTTGAAAGAATCTCCAAAAAAAATTCATTGAAGCCAGACACAGCCTCTCACAACAACACTAGCTGGTAAACTGATGCCAGTGGGTTCCTAGAATACTTACTAAGCGGGAGAAGCCTGTCTCTAAGGGACCCACCCTCCAAAGGATAATTCTGGGTTTATTTATTTATTTTTTTGGTCCTCCTTGTATATCTGGAAAACTTCACTAAATATATCTCAGAAAACTGTAAGGAGATCTAAGGATTTGACTCATTCCTTGTGCTTAACGCTGATTTCTACGTTATTATGTGTGTCATACAGTTTAAAGCTGATGGAACAGGATACCTGCAACCTTGAAGAGGAAGAGCGTAAAGCAAATACCAAAGTCAAAGAAATCAATGTTCAAAAAGCAAAACTTGTTACTGAATTAACAAACTTCATAAAGGTATGGTATTTTCTTAATTTTAGTCATTTTTCAATATAGCAGGTACATAAGACAAAATAGTAAACTCTTTAGAAGTCCTTATTGGAGGGAAAATTTTGATTAAGGTTTTTGACATTTTACTTATATGAGCAAGAGATTTTTATCATGAGTTTCAGCTTACTCAGTTGCTTGGCATTTTCTTTGTAAATAAGAACTATTTGAGAGAGGTGTCTAACTAGAAAATTTTCATGATTTATAGTTTTGTTTTATAAATACACTACTATTTTTCTTAGTTCTAAAACATAGGTAACATAAAAACTAAACTCTTAGGGTTTTTTTCCCCTAGATTTGTACTTCTTTGCATATACAAAAAGTGGATTTAATTCTTCAAAATACTACAGCGATCTCCGAGAAGAACAAATTACAGTCAGATCTTATGGCTGCATCTTCGCAACTACGTACCACAGAAGTAAGATTTTTACTTTTACTTTTTATTTTGGGGTTCCAACCTCAGAACAGTTTGAAAATATATTCATGTATCATCACTCGCAGTGTGTCATTTGTTGTTACATGCAATTTAATTTACAAATTTAATGCATCATGCTGTTGAGGAAGTAATACTCGAAATACTCAAGAGTGGCTGTATAACTTTGGTGTTTTAATCTTTTGTTAATAACTGTGAAATGATAAATACAGAAATAGCATGTGAAAGGGAAGAAATGTGATACACCACTTTGATTTAATACTCAAAGAAGGACTGGCAACAAGATGGCATAGTTTTTGACTCTCCAAAATCCTTTCCCAGAGATAGAAGAGCAGTTAGGATAATATAACAACAACAAATCTATGGACAGCATATTCAACAAAACTAAGTTTCAAGATATCCATCCCTACTGGCATCCAAAGTCAGTGTCAAACTATACAGCTTAGGACACAGTTCCCAAGAAGACCATCCTTACTTCAGACACAATCTGCAAGTTCAGGGGTCTCCAGCTACCTTCACTTCTGATCAGCTGACTACAAATTCAGGGGTACTTATAACCCCCTCAGGTTCAAAAATTGGTAAAACAACTCAGAATTCAGGAAAACACTATATACATCACAATGCATAACAATTGCAAATAGACATCAGAATTAGCCAAATGAAGAGACACGTAGGGGAACGTCTAGGAGGGGAACGTTCAGGGTTCTTATTGGGGTTTCATTATATAGGCTTAGTTGATTGAGTCATTGACCATGTTGATGGACTCAATCTTCAGCCCCCTTCCCTGGAGTTTGGAACCTTGGGCTGATATCCTGTGACTCAAAGACCCAACCCTCTAATCAATGCCAGTTGGTCTTTCTGCCATTTTCTACCTTAGCATGAACTCAGGAGTGATCCAAGGGGTTCTTGAATAATGATGTCTGTCTTACCACTCAATTCCAAGGACTTTCAAGGAACCAGCAACAAAACCAGGTCAATTTTATTATACAATACCTTTGAACTCCAAAATACAAATGGGTGAGGTAAATCAGCAGCATCAAAACTGGCGTAGTATCAGCAAGGGAAGGCTCAGGGAACCAAAAAATCAAGTTGCCAACAGGTACCCATCTCTAAAGGGAGGCAGCCCCATTAATTGTTGACTTTCAGATCAATTTGAGAGCAGCTGAAACTGGGAGGCAACTTTATAGACTCCAGAAAGGTTGAGTAGTGCTGAGGTGATCTAGCCCTATGAACTGTCAAACTAACTGAAACTGCTACTGAGTAGAACTAGAGTTACATGGTGGTTAACGGTGATAGTTAAGTATGTATTATATGGTTGTAAGTCTGACAGTATAGCTAAAGCACAGCTCTCTGAAAATGGAAGAGGGAAACAATATAAGTAAAATAGAATATATTTACCGGTTGTCCTATAAGTATTATCAGGAAACAAAAGAATATTACTTCAGATTAGATGCTTTGACAGAAGAAAATGAGGGAGAATTTCAATATTATTTATAGTGGGATCCATTAGATAATACCCCCCAAGAAGCTGTTAAAGATATAAGAATATTATATAAGTATTTGCATAAAGATAACCTTTAGAATAAAAATAGAAGCCTTTCTAAATGCCAAAAAGATGTACAAAGACAAGAGAGTGAAAAGGGCAATGAAATAGTACATAGCTAAAGATTAGATTTTTTCAAATTTACAAATATATGAGACATAAAAATAAAGACGACATAAAACAGTGGCAGAACTGAGGCCAAACATCAATCATATTATTAAATGTAAATGGATATAATTCATCTATTTTGAAAAGATTTTAAAAGTAGATTCCAACACTGTAGAATATGAGAGGTACATCTAAAAGAAAGATTCAGAAAGGTTTTAGAATAAATGGATACAAGGGGTCTTTTGGGAGGTGATGAAAATGTAGAAGGTATACAAATTATACCTCATGAAAGCTGTTTTAAAAAATGAGTGACCAAAGGCATACCAGGCAGATATCTCTCCTGAATACCTCTTATCTCTCCTGCTGTGCATGGAATGATGTTAATATATAATACTAAGTGAAGAAAAGATAGGAAAGAAAAGTGAGGGTAGTATGTTACCTCTTTCTAAGAAAGGGGAAGGGGAAATGATTGCTGTGTCTATATATTTGCTTATTTAAAAATTACAATGATAAACTAGATTTTTTTTTTTTGAGTTGGAGTCTCATTCTGTCACCCAGTCTGGAGTGCAGTGGCACGCTCACAGCCACCCCAGCATCAACCTGCTGGGCTCCAACGATCCTTCCACCTCAGCCTTCCAAGTAGCTGGAACTACAGGCGTGTGCTTCCACACCTGGCTAATTTTTTTATTTATTGTAGAGACAAGGTCTCACCATGGTGCCCAGGCTGGTCTTGAACAAGGTTAAAAGCTACATACATCTAAACAGATTTATTTTTTTCTACTTTGGAACCATCTGCCAACAAAACACAATTGAATTTTTTTTAAAAGATAAACTTAGCAAAAGCAAAGTGAAACAAATGTGTCTAACTTTATTTTGAGTTAGCAGTATAGCCTCACAGAGAAAAATTATTCCAGGTGACTTAAAAGCACAGTAATTTAATTCTAAAGGCAAAAAGAATTCTCAGAAAATCTTCAAATGATTACTGTTTTCAGTAATCATAGTGCTAATAATAGTAGTTGCAATGTTATTCTGAAAATATAAGATAAGTCAAATAAGTAATTACATTAATATGATTAGGTTTTTAGCATAAAAGAGATCAGTTGTAAAACAAAAAAGATAAGTAATAAAAACCTTAACATTTTAAATTTGAATTATAAATATCAGTATGAACCCATAATGTATTTTCCCTTTAAACAAAACATTTTCTAGCTCTGTCTACTGAAAAGACCTAAATTATGGCATCCAAATACTATTTTCTACGATAATGGCCCATTGGAGAAATGACTGATTTCATGTCCAGGGAAAGAAATGTTTATATTAGATTTAAAACTCTCCTGGGCCAGGCACAGTGGCTTACACCTCCCAGCACTTTTGGAAGCTGAAGTGGGAGAATTGCTTGAGTCCAGGAGTTCGAGACCAGCCTAGGCAACAAGAGAATTTTGCATTTATCCTGCCCTTCCTGTGTGAACTGTTTTTTAAAATAAATGATAAGAGGAAGTTTCTCTTGACAGAAGTAATTTAGCTATTCATTAAAGAAGTAATTATAGGATCACCACTTTGCAGGTACTGATGACTTAGTGTATCACATTAGCTGCTAATATCACAAAAGACAGCCAGATAGTTATGTGTGTCCTGATGAAAAGACACACTACTGTCTATGGGATAATCTTGTGGAAAAAAGTCAAATTTCAGTTCAAATGTTTAGAACAGAGTTTCTCAACCTCAGCATTATTGACATTTTGGAGTGGATAATTGTTTTTGTGGGTAGTTGTTTTCTGTGCATTTATAGACTATTTAGCCGCATCCTGCTAGATAGTCTCTACCTGCTAGATGCCAGTAACACCCCTCAGTTGCATTAACCAAAAATGCCTCCAGACATTGTCAAATGTACCCTGAGGAGCAAGATTGCCCATTGATGAGAATCAGTGCTCTAAAACTACCAGTTTATAGCAAATACAGGAAAGCAAGTCATATATTTCAGGAATACAGTCTGCAAAATCTAGAATGTAAAGAACTTTCTGTAGAACAGGTAATTTATCTCAGCACTGCTATTAGAAATATAATGCAAGCGATATGTGTAATTAAAAACTTCATAGTGGTCAAATTTTTAAAAATAAAAAGAAATAGTGAAAGTAATTATAATAACATTTAATTAAATATATCTAAAATATTATCATTTTAACTTGAAATCAATATTGAAAAACTATTTATGAGCTACTTTATATACTTTTTATTCTAATCTCCAAAATATTTTACACATAAGATACAAATCAAATGCTAAATTTTTATCAGAAATACTTGATCTGTATTTCGATTTTACAAAGCCAATAGTTAAAAAAGTAGGTTCACACACTCAAGTTGCTCAATTTTTTCAATAACTGGAGTGAGCATCACTTTTTAATTTTAAATAAGTTTAAATTCAGATTTGAAATTCAGTTTATCATTCATACTAGCCACATTTTAAGTGCTTTATAAAAGGTCACATGTGACTAGTGTCTGTTTTAGTGGACAGTGAAGTTTTTAAAATAAATGTCAAGGAAAAGTAGAAGAGGGAAGCCTATAAATTAAAAGGGACTTAAGAAACATGTTGACCAAATAAAATGTATAGAACTTATTTTGATTCTGATTTGAACAAAGCAATTCTAAAAAATGTTAGAAAAATGGGGACCATTGAATACTGACTCAGTACTTGGTATTGCTATAATTTATTGAAAATATTTTTAAAATTGATAGCAATCATTTTTTTGAAGTTGTTTAGGTCTTTATTTTGTAGAGATATATTGCTGTAATATTTATGAAGGAAGTGGTAGGCCACCTGGGATTGCCTCAAAATAATCCAGAGCAGGGACCACGTAAGGAGAGAGTATAGATGAAACTATTGTTAACGAGTTGAGAATTGTTGAAGCTTGGGTGATTGGTCTGTGAAAGTTTATTATATTGTTCTTTCTGCTTTAGTATTTGTTTGAAGTTTTCCATAATAAAAAGTAAAGCTTCCATTTCATGATGAAATAACAGGGACCATATTTACCTTCTCACTTGAAACCACTAAAAGATGTGACAAAATATATGAAGTTGTGGTTTTCCCACATTGGACAACAGACAGCACAGGACAGTGATCCCTGAAAGAAGGGAAGAAAGCGAGGTGAGCCCTATGATTGCTTCATCTTACTGCTTGAAGAGAGTTTCCAGACTACAGAGCAGGGAAAGGGAACTTAATATGAGAGAGAGAATAACGCTACACGTCCTAAGCATTAAAAGATACTAAGAGACTATGATGAAAAACTTTATGCCAATAAATTTGACAACTTTGATGAAATAGACAAATTTCTTAAAT